CGCCGTATTCAAACCTACCCAGACCTAACTGGTGAGTAAAAACGCCGTCTTCGTATCTCTTTATCATCTGTGCTCCGCCTCTAACAATGTGTCATCATAGACGTGGTCGAAGAGCTCTGCCCTCGATTCTCCGAATGGAAAGAGATCTTCGGCGACGAGAAAAGCGCGAAGAGAAAGAGGGAGCAGAGCGACGTTGGCGATGGCAGGGGCCTCGGCAAGGACGTGGACGCCGGCAAAGGCGGAGACGTCGGGGATGGCGAGGACGCGGGCAACAGCAGGGATGCTTTCGACCGGGAGATGCTGGCCCACACCAGGGCAGTTCATGAGGCCGAGAAGAAGCGGTGGGCGGAGCAGGACAAGAGAGAGATCAAGAGGGATCAGGATACGGCGAAGTACAGGCGGGAGAAGCTCCGTCTTCAGGGAGAACAGAATGAGCTTTTGGAGGCGACTATGGAGGTGAAGAAGGCGGGCATCGTTGTCCAGGCTACCAGATTCTAGGGATGGTCTCCGGAGGCAACACGGACGCCATAGAGTACGTCTGTAGTGTCGAGTGGGTCATATGATGATGCATAATTGAAGAGAAACGCCGTGGGGATGGACCGACCCGCCCTCTTGTATCCGCCCGTCCTCGAAAGACTCGCCTTCCTGGCGACCCTCCACAGCCCAACATACCAGGTATCTTCCAAACGCACGATCTGCACACCAAAGCCCTCGTTTTCCATACACAATACATGATGGATCTGTAAAAAACGACGATAGAACGATAACCCAACATGAACTCCAAAACTCCTTGATCCTCCTGGCGGGTGTACTGCCGTACACGTCAGCTGACGGTGCTGTGTTGGTTGCACGGGCTATACATAACCAAGACGCTCACTCACTGGCACATGTGAGGACATCCGTACACTAACGTGCCGCTCGATTATCGCCGTCCGTGTTCCCATCGTCCTGGTGGTCCGCCTCATTCGCCAGAGTAGCCAGCAAACTGTTCCTCTGCGATCATGCGTATCAGCGCCTTTTCTCTTCGTAACTCGGGAAAGGACCCACCGGCATGATATGAAGCATCCTCTCGATATCATCCAGTTGGTCGCTCAGACGCCTCGCGAACCGCGTCCTCCTGGCTGCATCCCAGCTCTCATACCCATCCCCTCGGTCACCCGCCGAATTCTGCGCGTCCGTCTCCTTCGCCTGCTCTCTCTCGCCCTCGCGGTCTTGGCCCTGGGTTGATTCTTGCTCCGCAAAATAAGGCGAGGTGTCGGGGTCGACAAGAAGCGGGGCCAGAAGCAGCCTGCCCCACGGGTAAGCCGGCATCGGGCTCCTGTCGGGCGTCTGGTACGCGTCGCGCGGGGTGGTCACGTCGCTTGCTGGCGCGTCGGGGGCGTTGCGCTCGAACTTTGGTGGCGGGGTGAGACCGGGGGTGTTGCCAGTGTAGGTGTCAGGGAGAGGGTCGGGGGTGTGGTGGGGAGGGTGCAAGGGGTGCGATGAGGTAGATGGGGTTGCAGGGTGAGTGAGTTGAGCGGGGCGGTGGGACGTGGGCGATGCGTCTTGAGAAGACGCGTGGGTGTTGCTGATATCATCGTGTTGCGAAGTAGTCTCCGTCTTTCGCTCCTCCTCACCTTCGACTCCATGACACTCGTAGGCCACTGCCGGCTTGTTGCCTGGTGCTGTAGTCGGCGCGCCTTGCGTGAGCCTCGCGAGCGCCGCCGCCGGGTCACCCCGCGGAGGATCACGCGAAGGCGGCCTGATACGCCGAATCGCATGCTTCTTCACCTCTCTCTCTCCTCCCTCCTCTTGCCTCCCTCCAGCCCCTCCCACCCCGCCCTCCGCCCTCCTCACTTTCTCCAGCGCCTTCACGTACTCCCCTTTACCTTCCGGCACCGCCTTCTCATACAAGCCCTGCAGCGCTTTCGCGTACACGCTCGGCGCGTCCGAGTAGACGTCCCAGGTCGCGGGGCGCGGGCGCGGGTGTGCGAGCAGGAGGAGTTCGTGGTGGTCTTTGAGGGCGAGGCCGACAGGGTGGGAGTGTGAGTATTGCATGCCGACGGAAGGCTGGGCGAGTGGGGAGGGAGGGACGAGTGGGAGTTGGAGAGAGGCGGGGTGGACGCGGCGAGGCTTCTCGGGAGGAGTAGGGGCGGTGTCTGCCGGGTGTTGGTGGCGATTGTCGTACGTGTTGGCAGTTTGGGGCGCAAAGAGCTGATTCGCGTAGTCGAAGGGCGGCGCGTCGGTTTGAGCATGCCTCCTGATGCTCAGGCTGTTCTGAACCGGTGCCGGGGTCTCGTCCTCGTTGACATAAGGCCCTCGCGTCAGATGCGAGAGCCCCGACTGTCTTGAGAGCCGCATCGACCCGTACATCTTGTAGTCGTCCGTCCCAGGCGTGAGCGGCGTATCGACCGGCTCGCCATGCTCAAAGTAGAGCCCGGCGAGTGACAGCTGGCGGAGCGCCTTGGTGTGTTCGCGGTGGGTGAGGAGCCAGCCTGTGAAGGTCTGTTCAAAGTAGTCACGGATGCAGGCGTGCACCTACAGCGTCTATGGGTCAGATGGTTGCCGACAGAAGAGCAACTCTTGGAATCCACGGTGTTCCACTGAGCAGCGGCGGGGCCCTTCGTCTGCTTCCCTTGCGTATCCATGAGCAGCTTCATATGCGCCAAGGCGAGATCCGCATTCTGCTTCAGCTGTGTGTCCACCCTATCAGCACCACCCAGCAGGAACAACCCTTCGCCTGAGAGCTCACGCACATCCTTGATCTTCCGGAAGGTTTCGGGGTCCATCTCCCCGTCAGGAGGGGGCTGGAGGGGCACGAACGTCGGACCGAGGACGGCACGCGGGACAGAGTATGGGTGCGGGTGAGAGTTGGTGATACGACCGTAGCCAGAAGGGAGGGGGTCCACGGCGTGCGCGTGGGAGGGGCGGCAGAGGAGGAAGTCCATCGTGCCGAGAGTAGGGACTGATCAAGGGGATGATACGGTACGTCAATGAAAGTGAGAGAGAAGAAGGAGAAGAAAGAGAAGAAGGAGAGAGAAAGTTTCACGGAAGTGGACACATATGCGTGTGGCCATCACGTCCACGTGTTTCAAGAAGACGGGTCATTATTGTCAGACACGACGGGAGCAGGAGGTGTGTGGGCCCGCTTCTTGGTCCTATCTACTTGTGGCCAGTAATGCGTTCGTTCTCTTCCCCCCTTAGGCCCCGATATCCTCAAGGAAGGAGATGTCAAGAAGCGAGCATGTGTTTCGTATCAGACCGCTCCGTAACCGATCTAAACGCTAAGAGCAACCAGCGCCTGCCATAGCTGTCTTGGTCATCGCCCGCCAGTCCACTATTCCCCGCTACGGTACACGCCCTCTCTACATCTTGTTCCCCAGTCCACTGACCCCTACGCAGTCCGTTGTGGCGCAACCACCGGCAAAGTCCACACCAGTGGTGACATCTCATCATATGTATACACGCGGGTAGGGGTATCGTACACTCCTGTCATTAGAGATCATGCAGCCCGGGCGAGAAGAAAGAGGCGATAGGGGGCAGAGAGGGTGGTTGGCGTTTAGAAGAGGTCCTCGAGGGTCATTTGCCTACACGGGCAGACGGCATCAGCTTGACAATCATAATGGCCGAGTAGATACAAGCCGGGATCAGGCTAGAAAGAGAGAGAATGGAGACTGACTTGACAATGTCCGTGCTGGCAACCATGTTTGTAAACTCCTCGAAAGATAGCTTCCCGTCACTGTATATGATCCCCAAGTTAGCTCCATAACCACCACGATCCCATAAGCTCGGTCGCTCACCCGTCCTTGTCCGCCTCCATGATAGTCTTATCCACGATCTGTTGAAGCTGCTGGTCCTGCGATCCTCCATGTGTCAACGAGGGGTCTAGCTTTCGCCATGAGAACGAATACAGCTACACACCTTCAAGTTGTTCCCCACCATCTGCTTGAGCACAAGGTACAGTTCTCCGTTGGAGATGAAGCCGTCGCGATCCATGTCGTACACTTTGAAGGCAACTGAGGCCGGGAGGCAGGGTGGGATGGGGGAGCAGTATGGGGGAGGGGCGTGACGAAGACAATGAGGTAGCGGGATGAAATAGGCAGGGAGTGAGACGATACGAGGGAAAGGATCAGCAGTGGCCATATCGCACTATTCACAAGGCGCACTCACATCTAAGCTTCTCGTCTCGCCCTCCCTTGCTGCTGAACGCGCTCAGCCCGCCCACGAACTCCTGGAAATCGACTGTTCCACTCCCACTGTAACCCACAAAACCCATTAGCCATCTGCATTCCCTCTGGCCTCGTCTCTTACACGCCCCCTACGAGCACAAAAGCGACTCACTCTTCATCAAAGATGGCTATCATCCGGTGGGCCAATGGGTTGTTCGCGATTTGCGGGATCTGGAGGAACTCGTCCTTGTCGATAGACCCCGAGCCGTCCTTGTCGAGCTTCATGAACCTCTTCTTGAGGCGCATCAGTTCTGGTGCGGAGACTACAACAGGCAAAGGGAGCTTCGTCAGCGTCCTGTCACAGGTCTGCAGAGGCGGCGGCGGGAGGTAGGTGGGTGGAGGAGAGGAACGGGGCGGTGGGGCGGTGACGCACAGTTCGAGTTCTTCTCAAGCGAGTTGAACATGGACGATTCGGCGGCTCCCATGGTGCAGTGTCTCGTGATGAAGGATAAGGAAAGACGGGATTAGAGGTGATGTAGAGACGAATGAGAACAAGAACGAGTGGAGATTGAAGGCAAGGAAGGATGGAGATGTCCGTCGCATCGTCACCAAGTGCGAGACGTGCATTTCAGGCGAGGCGAAGACAAGGCCGCCGGCTACCACTCCGCCGTGTTTCTCTCGCGGCTCGTTGCCTGGACTGACAAGTCCCAGTAGACATTTACGACGCTATGGACAGCTTGCTATGCATGCATAAGAGGACGACCACCGGTCAATTGTGTGCAACTCCAATGGGCTGCTGACATCCTGCGGATCTTGCGGTATATGCGGTGGAGTTTGAGTCCGAACATCGAAGGCGACATAGCTCAGTTGGGAGAGCGCACGACTGAAGTTCCGAGATTCATCTCGATAGCTTTATTCGTGCGGTCCCTGGTTCGATCCCGGGTGGCGCCATTACTTTTTGCACCTTTTTGCGTTCTTCCAACCAAGTGCCCCACTGTTCTGGCATTCCAGCTCTAGAACACATGCAAATGATCGCGACTGTGGTATTCGGACGATCGTGCAGATGCTCTTTCGAGCACTGGTTGGGTCACTCGCTTCATCACAGGGAGTATTCTCATCACCACGGTTATGATATGTCGTTCTTCTTCTCTTGTTGTCGTCGTCGTCGTACGTCGTTCCAAGACTCATATCCGGGGAATAGTGCACTGCACTCAGTTGGGGTACCAAAAAGATATCGTATGAAGCGTTCATCGACACAAAAAGGCATATGGCGCCACCCGGGATCGAACCAGGGACCGCACGAATAAAGCTGTCGAGATGAATCCCGGAACTTCAGTCGTGCGCTCTCCCAACTGAGCTATGTCGCCTTCGGTGTTTCGCGAAATTTTGAAGGGTGTCAGAGCTATGGCCCTCGAAGCAGGACTTTAGCGAGGGTCAAAAAGGGCGGGCGCGCCTGTTCCAGCTCTGCATTTCAGCGCTCATTCCGGCAAAGCGGAGAAACAGAGCAGAGAAGAAGTGCAGGACAGAGAACAAGCGGGTTGCAGGGACAAAAAGAATGCAAAAAAGTAATGGCGCCACCCGGGATCGAACCAGGGACCGCACGAATAAAGCTATCGAGATGAATCTCGGAACTTCAGTCGTGCGCTCTCCCAACTGAGCTATGTCGCCTTCGATATTTTGCGGCATTTTGCAAGGGACATGTCGCCGACTTGTGTGGCCCCGAGATGGCTCCTCTTTCAACAAGCCTTCCACAGTTCTGATCACGACAAAAATTGCCAGACTTCACCATACATGTCGAAGACATCGTGCGGCTGCACCTTTCACCCATGCATGCGCTCCTCCGTTCACCTCCAGAACGCATGCAAGCGTTGACAATGGACTGCCACACTCGTCCCACCCCGGGGATACGCTCAGGGCGCGCATCAGGGCTCGGACGGACCCAGTGCGACCAAGGCACCATGCGACGATTCTTTGCTCTGCTGATTTTTAAAAGCGCCAGCGCGGAAGGTCTTCTTGTTGTCTCCTCATCTTCCTCTTTTACCCTTCCTCTTCAAAACCCCCCCAAAACACATCTTAACAATGGTGAGATCGTGCTCTTTCCATGAGGCATGGTGCGGTGCATATGGCGTGTAGAGCAGGGCTGTCCGAAGCTGTTATGGCTGCTACCGGGCGGGTCATGTCAACCCACGTTCCAACCACCGTACCACGTCTCAACCAACCATCGGACGCCTCGCTGACTTTCGGCTCCTTCGCAGTCCAGCTACAAGGTCGCCGACATCTCCCTCGCCGCTTTCGGCCGTAAGGAGATCGAGCTCGCTGAGCGCGAGATGCCCGGTCTCATGTACCTCCGTGAGAAGCACGGCAAGTCCCAGCCCTTGAAGGGTGCCAGGATCGCGGGGTGTCTCCACATGTACGTTGGCTTGGCTCTGGGCACTATCCTTCTCAAGTGCTGACCCCCCACGCAGGACCATCCAGACCGCCGTCCTCATCGAGACCCTCACCGCTCTCGGTGCCCAGGTCACCTGGTCTTCGTGCAACATCTTCTCCACCCAGGACCACGCTGCTGCCGCCATCGCTGCCACCGGTGTCCCCGTCTACGCCTGGAAGGGCGAGACCGAGGAGGAGTACCTCTGGTGTATCGACCAGACCCTCAAGGCTTTCCCCGAGGGCAAGGCTCTCAACTTGATCCTCGACGACGGTGGTGACCTCACCTCCCTCGTCCACGAGAAGTACCCCGAGCTCCTTGGTGGTGAGTCAACCTGCTTGCGAGAATCGAAGGTCGTGGCTGACGATTCATTGCAGACATCAAGGGTGTGTCTGAGGAGACCACCACCGGTGTCCACCACCTCTACAAGATGTTCAAGGACGGCAAGCTCAAGGTCCCTGCCATCAACGTCAACGACTCTGTGACCAAGTCCAAGTTCGACAACTACTACGGCTGCCGCGAGTCCCTCGTCGACGGTATCAAGCGTGCCACCGACGTCATGCTTGCCGGCAAGGTCGCTGTCGTCGCCGGTTTTGGTGACGTCGGCAAGGGCTGTGCCGAGTCCCTCCGCTCTTACGGTGCCCGAGTGATCGTCACCGAGATCGACCCCATCAACGCCCTCCAGGCCGCCATGGCCGGTTACGAGGTCACCACCATGGAGGAGGCCGCCCCCAGGGGTAACGTCTTCGTGACCACCACCGGCTGCAGGGACATCATCACCGGCGAGCACTTCGAGGCCATGCCCGAGGATGCCATCGTGTCCAAGTGAGTCGGCTCGATATATGCTGCGCTTGGCATCGGTTGCTGACGTTTCATTGTAGCATTGGCCACTTCGATGTTGAGATCGACGTTGCCTGGCTCAAGGCCAACGCCGCCGAGCACGTCAACATCAAGCCCCAGGTTGACCGCTTCACCATGAAGTCCGGCCGTCACATCATCCTCCTCGCCGAGGGCCGTCTCGTCAACCTCGGGTGCGGTACCGGCCACCCCTCTTTCGGTTAGTCCTGTCTGCTTATTCGTTACTCGTCGTGAATATCAAAACTGACATGCTTGCTGTAGTGATGTCTTGCTCCTTCGCCAACCAGGTCCTCGCCCAGATCGCCCTCTGGACCGACGCCGAGTCCTACCCCCTCGGTGTGCAGTGAGTATCGTCCCCTCAAATTGTACTCGGGGCACCCGCTGACGATCTTCTGCAGCATGCTCCCCAAGTCCCTCGACGAGGAGGTCGCCCGTGCCCACCTTGCCCAGCTCGGCATCAAGCTCACCACCATGACCAAGGTCCAGGCTGACTACCTCGGCTTGCCCGCCGAGGGCCCTTACAAGCCCGACCACTACGTGAGTTTCAAGCAGCGTTGAGACCCCTTTGATGAGAATGCCACTGACTCTGTTTCCATCTGCAGAGGTACTAAGCGCTTCATTCTTGGCCTCAACTGCCTCGAAGCGTCGGTCCTGTTCTCGGTCTAGCTTTCTTCTTCCCCTCCACCCCTACTCGCACCACACCCGAGTCATCCTCTAGCTCGCTTACGAAAACACATATACCCCCCCAGTTCTTATTACCCGTAATTTGAGACCCCACGCATTGCACACCCACTTTGCAAAAACGAAACAAAATCATCTTGTCACTTCTTATCTCGCATTTTTGGGCTTCAACTGCCATCTTTCTCCATTTCCTTTGTTTTATTATATATAGAAATCATCGTTCGGTAGAGTAGGTCGAACCTAGCATGGCTAGTGGGCTGAAAAGACGGGTTCCATTAGTTTGATGCATGGAACTGGCGGAGCACTCTGTGTCATTAATTGTGGCCTTGTAGGTCTCGCATGACAGACGGCGGGGACGGTACACTTGGACTCGCACCGACACGTTCCGCTCACTATGCTAAGGTCGCGTATAGACTTGGTTCTCATAACGGGTCGGCCTCCGTTTGATGACCATGAATGAAGAGGATATTGTGACGCTACGGATCAGTACCTGCCTCTTATCTCATCGTCGGCCTTCGACGTCTGTACCTCAGCGCGATACATCTGATAAGAGCCATGCATACTTATGACCAATGGCCGAAGAGAACAGCTATGAATAGGCTTCTCGGCGTGTACACAACGGCCGAAGTGCTCACACATGTGTGTGCAGCGCTGCCCGACCACCTTTGTTGTTGCGTTGACCCCCGAAGGCCGAGCCCCGGGCCTCCCGCCCCCCCCCCTTCTTGCAGCCCAATTTAGAACGACGCGTCTGAGCTCGGCAGGGTCTTTCGGCGATGAGTGCCTGATCGACCTCCCAAAACACGCTCTTGCAGCCGGATAACGAGCTTTATCCAGTGTTCGTGCCCTATCCTGTACGCGTTTGGCCCAGGGTTCGACAAAGCGGGCCAAACAAAAAGTTCACCCCGGCCTTCGGTGGCTCAAGTGACTTGAAGAAGATCTGGTGCACAAGCTCCTCGCTCCTCGATACAATCGCCGAGCCCTTGATAGCATGCACAAGTATATAAACATCGAGCCGAGCGCAGTACGAACGCGTCTGGCCCGTATCCTATCCTCTATATAACCACAACCATCACAGCCCATGCCAGCAACAGAACAGTCGGTACACTCCACGATGGCCTCCCCGACCTCGACTATCAGCATCCCTGCCGATGAGCAGAAGCACTCGATCGAGTCGACGCCTTTGCCTGTCGGCGCTGCCAGCAGCGCAACACCGGCCGCCGCCGTGACGGAGACGAGGACGTCTACTCCCACTGGCAAGGCGCCCAAGGAGAGGAAGATCACTGCCCCGCCCAAGGGCCACTCTGGGGTGATAGATATACCAGAGATCGCGCCTTGGAGGTTCTGGTCCATCATGGTCAGCTTGATGTTGTCGGTCTTCCTTTTCGCGTTGGGTGAGTCTAAACCGTGTCGTACATCGGAAATCGGTTGATGGAGCTCGTGTTGACTTTGTGTATCTGCAGATCAACTGATCGTTGCCACCGCCATCCCCAAAATCACCGCCGAGTTCAACTCCCTCACCCAGCTCTCGTGGCTTGCGTCCGGTTTCTTGTCAGTATATCGTGCCACATATAACCATGTCTGCCGCTGACCACTCTACAGCCTCACCCTTCTCTCCTTCAACCTCCTCTACTCCCAGTGCATGAACATCTTCCCTTCAAAGCACGTCATTATAGCCGCCGTTGTCATCTTCGAGGTCGGCTCCCTCGTCTGTGGAGTCGCCAAGAGCATGAACGTCTTGATCCTGGGTCGAGCGCTCGCGGGGCTGGGTGCGGCAGGCATCTTCAGCGGTGCCATGGTGATTGTCGCCGAGCTGGTGCCTCTGAGCAAGCGCGGTGTCTACTTTGCGTTGTTCGGTGTCTGGTGAGTCTTCCAGCGATATAACGGTACGTTTTGAGGCATGAGCTGACCGCTGGCGATAGCTTTGCCATCGCGTCCGTCCTCGGCCCTCTTGTCGGTGGCGCTTTCGCCGACCACGTCAGCTGGAGGT